TACAAAAATTATACAAATTGAACAAACTTTTATTAATTGCCACCCAAAAATTTCAAACGTTTTATAATAAAAAAAAAAAAAAAAAAAAAAAAATAGGTACAGTTTCATATGTAAAGTGCAAGTTTCAAGGTACTAGGTATTTTCTTCTCAATAAATGAAATAGTCGTGCATACTTTATATGGAAGAAAATGCCCATCACCGTCGGCTAAACCGTTAAAGTTCAATGCGATTTTGTAGCGTCTTTATGCTACTAAAATTTGATGGCTCATAAAGCGGCATACCTAAAATTTGTTTAAAAACTCTGAATAAAAAGTTTCACATTTTTGGTGGAAATTGTTTGTTAAAGTTTTATTATTTTTGTACAAAGCTTTGAAATGTGTATTTACATACATATATGGTGCTTGTAATCTAATGTGCCAGACTTGTATAAGAAAATAAAAATAAAATAAATAAAAGAAAAATAACCAAAACTAGTCAATATGCAACTTACATCAGCCGACCACAACTGTACGTATGTAAGTATACATATAAGAGTAATTTTGGAAACGTTAGGAGTATTTTATAGTTAATAAAAGGCAGTAAATTAATACATACATAATTCGATATGGTAAATATTTATTTAGTTTTAGCTTGCAATAATTTATTAATCAATCACTACAAGAACATAACTAGCACTGCGCACTCACATTCAACAATAAACTTCCTTCTCTTCCTTCATACGAGTATTAAAAGACGCCAAGATGTTGCGGTGTCTAACGAGACTAACTTGCAACATTTTCTAAACACTAATAAGATTAACGAAGAAGCAATCCATAAACAAACAACTCACTCCACCTCTCGTTTGTACTCGGCAATTTAATATACATACATACATAATATTATGTGCATTTAAGTCACCTACATATGTAATGATGTTAAATTTTGACAACTTCCCGAAAAAATATACAACCCTAGTGTATGGCATGTACCTTGATTTGAATGTATCGCAATTCGTTATGACCCCAGGTGTTCGTTTTTAATAAATACATATGTCTCCATAAAATTAAGTCGTTTGGCGAAATTGCTTTGCAGCGAACAGTTATTCGTTTTTTGGTCAAATATTTTTTATACTACAAAATTGGCGTCTAACAGGTCTGTCTATTTTGCATGTTTCTGAAAATTAGGTAACCGGACAATTTTATTGCCAAAATTTTTTACCAGTTCTTGTAATCGCAATTCGCTAGGTACATTGGCAACACTGCCAATTTATTCGGCAATTCAGCTATGGATATTTGTAGAAATCCTGTTATTGCATATTTCACGGGCTAATATCATGTTACCAGCGGGGCACCGAAATTGCGCATATGGAAACTGTGCATTTAGACATTATTTCGGTTTCAACCGAAACTGTGCATGTATGCTTTATTTCGGTTTTTACCATATGCATTATTTCGGTTTTAAACCGAAACTGTGCATGTATGCATTACTGCGTTTTTTTTCATATGCATTATTTCGCTTTTAAAACGAAAGTATGCATATGCATAATTTCGGTATTTTCTCATATGCATTATTTCGGTTTTCAACCGAAACTGTGCATGTATACACTACTTCGGGTTTTTCATATGCATTATTTCGGTTTTCAACCGAAACTGTGCATGCATGCATTATTTCGGTTTTTATTATATGCATTATTTCGGTTTTGAACTGAAATTGTGCATGCATGCATTA